GAGAAGTGGGGGCTGAGGAGAAGTGGGGGCTGAAGAGAAGTGGGGGCTGAAGAGAAGTGGGGGCTGAGGTAAAATGGAGGCAAGAGAAGTGGGGGATGGGAAGGTGAGGAGCGCAGGATTGGGGCGGCAGGACTTGGGGGCGTTAAGGACAGAGAGCCAGATTTGGGGCCCGTGGGATGAAACGAGCATTGGGGTCAGGCGGCAAGAAGTGGGCGTTAGAGGATGAGTGGAGCAGGATGGGACTTGTGGAGAATCGGGGACCTGAGCCAGGAGGGGTGTGGGGTGTTTGGGAAGGTGGCGGGGCACAGGATTAGAAGCCCAAAGTAAGGCTTTGGGGGCACAAAGTGAGTCGGGGAGGATCTCGGAGTGCTTCCTGGTGACCCTAACTGCCATCATGATGGAACTTTGGTGAGAATCGTGGCTTTCAAATAATCTGGGGTGGAGGGGAGCTGTTGGATAGGGTGAAGGCTACAGGGTGTTGGATAGGGTGAAGGCTGCGGGGTGTTGGATAGGGTGAAGGCTGCGGGGTGTTGGATAGGGTGAAGGCTGGGGGTTGTTGGATAGGGTGAAGGCTACGGGGTGTTGGATAGGGTGAAGGCTGGGGGTTGTTGGATAGGGTGAAGGCTACGGGGTGTTGGATAGGGTGAAGGCTGGGGGTTGTTGGATAGGGTGAAGGCTGGGGGTTGTTGGATAGGGTGAAGGCTGGGGGTTGTTGGATAGGGTGAAGGCTGGGGGTTGTTGGATAGGGTGAAGGCTGGGGGTTGTTGGATAGGGTGAAGGCTGGGGGTTGTTGGATAGGGTGAAGGCTGGGGGTTGTTGGATAGGGTGAAGGCTGGGGGTTGTTGGATAGGGTGAAGGCTGGGGGTTGTTGGATAGGGTGAAGGCTGGGGGTTGTTGGATAGGGTGAAGGCTGGGGGTTGTTGGATAGGGTGAAGGCTGGGGGTTGTTGGATAGGGTGAAGGCTGGGGGTTGTTGGATAGGGTGAAGGCTGGGGGTTGTTGGATAGGGTGAAGGCTGGGGGTTGTTGGATAGGGTGAAGGCTGGGGGTTGTTGGATAGGGTGAAGGCTGGGGGGTGTTGGATAGGGTGAAGGCTGGGGGTTGTTGGATAGGGTGAAGGCTGGGGGTTGTTGGATAGGGTGAAGGCTGCGGGGTGTTGGATAGGATGAAGGCTGCGGGGTGTTGGATAGGGTGACAGTGCTTTGACAGAAGGAGCGTGTTTGAGCACTGGTTTTCGATGGCGTGGATGTGACCATGGGAACACAGCTGAGTGTGCCGTGGTGCTGAGGCCTAGTGCTTGCACGTTGCCATAACTGTGCTGCAGTTTGTTTGCTTTGCCCACTGCTGTAGCAGAGCTTGCCCTGTTTGGAAAGGAACTAAAGGCAAAACTAGGGCAGGGGAAAAAGGTAGTGTATGCTGAGCCCGGCAGATGACAGAGACCATCCCTGTGGGCATGGTTCCCAGTTGAATTAAGTGATACTTTGGAATGAAGTCCAGAAATCAGCATCAACATTATCTAGTTCTCTGCGAGGTTGGGGGGGTGGTATTGGAATTGTTATTATAATGCCAGTTATAGCAAAAGGAGTAATGCCTCAATTAAATGTGTAATTGGAGTTGTAATTAAGATCTTCTCTAACATGTCCATCAGAAGTGTAATTTAAACTGCCGGATGACTCTTTCTGAGCAAAGGCAAGGAACCCAAGAGTCAGTTCAGAAATAGTAACAGGTGTACATCAAAATCACCCTTCCTCCATACTTAGCGTGAAAAACGCTGTCACCTTTCAACACTGACTTTTTTTTGCCTTCTTCTGATCCAAGCAGCCATTAGTCATGACAGCATAAGGTAAAAACAATCGTAATTAACTTTACAAAACTGATTTCATGCTTATAATTTATTTTTAATGCAATGCTTTATACACAGAGTGGGTACACTTAGGGGTAATAGAAGAAGGTAATGAGTTTATGTTTCAAGTAATCTGTCATTTGACCCAACCCTAACAAAATGAATAGTTATTTAATCTAAATTAAACATAAGGGATTTATTAAGGTAGCAAACCTGCTGACCTTAGAGAAGTGGAACACATTGTTCGTGTACACTGTTTTTATAGATTGGAGATTGTTCCTGTTGCCAACTTTATACCTTATCATTAACTTCTCTAATGGATATTTTAACATAGAAAATATTAAGTGAACATTGTTTAATGGTGATCTAGTATCCTTTGTGTTTTATCATGCAATTAATTTGTAGTGTTTCTTTTTAAAATATTCATTATTTTTATTTTACATCTGTGAGTGTATTGCCTACATGTGTGTAAGGCACCCATGTTGTGCAATACCCGTGGAGTTCAGAAGAAGGTGTTGGATTCCCCCAGAACTGGAGTTATGGATGGTTGTTAGCCACCATGTGGGTGCTGGGAATCAAACCTGATCCTCTTCAAGAGCAGCCAGTGCTCTTTAATGCTGACAGTAATTATTATTTTCATTAAAAAGTGCCATTGTTCATGCTGGCCTAATTAGAATATTATACTATTTTCTAAATAGCCTCTTGTTTTTCATAATCAAGGATAGGCAATATGAGTACATTGTACTAAAAGTAGAGACAATATGCATAAACTAGTTGGTTATAAAATTGGTTATAAAATTAGATTTATTATTTTGAGACTGATGAACTTGTCAAAGTGCAATGCTTAGAAGATTTGAGCAAAATATAATTAAAATTTGTATACTCGCACGTAACAATGTATCTTCAGTGTTTCAGCAAATTAAAGAAAAACTTTTAAAGTGGCATTGTAAAATTTAGTATTTTATTGTATATTTCAAGTTTTTAAAAACTTCGTTTCTATGTCTCAGAACTAAATATTGTGGAAAATTTGCCTTATAGTATAGTCAGCCATGTCTTCTTAAATTATATCATGACTTGGTTAAGGATGCAAAGGTTGAAAGTTGGCACTTCCTTCCATACTGTTTCTCTTAGTCTCTCAATCTGGAATTTGCTTAAGGATGAGTATATGTGGCTAAGAAGATACTGAAAAGCAAATTAATGAGGTTATAACTATTTGATACCTGAAAAAGTACTGACTACTTATATGGCCATTGTGATCCAGAATGTTGTACTTGGTACAGAAAAGCAAACATTTTGTTTCCTGAGTGACAGAAATGAAATTCTGACCTGGCAATTCTATAAATAACAGATATATTATATCAGCTGTTTGAAATTAAAGGTTCCAAAGCAATATGGCAAATCTATCAACCCTATTTTTTCATTATATTGAGGCAGGATCTTGCTATGTAGTCAAGGCCAGCCTAAAACTTGTGATCCTTCTGCTTCAGCTTCCAAAGTAAGCACCCACCTCTTTATCTGAGTCTTACATGTGTGATGACTGCTTTTTGGTTAGTGCACTCCTAGAAATAGTCTTACTCTCAGCTAAAACTAAAATGTAAAATTCTGTAATCGCTACTTTTTTGTAATTTATTGTTTTGTACCTTAGAAATAGTTGGATTTACTAATGGACACTGCTTTGACCAGTCATTTGACTGAATTCAGTGTATTCCATGTAGAAGGTATGAGCTTGCTGTTTTCTTGAATGAGCACATTCTCATGGCAGGAAATAAAATCACCTTGTTAGAAATTTTTTTTTTTTTGTAAATAAAGACTCATATATTTGTTTCAGACATATATTTTGAAGTAGGGCTTTTACCAAGATGTTAAGAGTTTTGTTCGAATTAGTATTCTGTCACTCTCATTCTAGTCACTTAATAAAAGTAGGTCAGAATTTAAAGTTTTGATTTTCAAGGTCCTGTTTCTTTCTAAAACCCTCAATAGCCACTGTGATTTTTATTACCTATTATAATTTTCCAAGAAAAAATACATAAATTTCTTCTAAGTGACCTTTGTCAATTTCAAGATCATGTTTGATAGAATGTGGCTCTACACCCCTTAATATTAAAAGCATTTCTCAGACTATTTAGAGCATCATTTGACTCTTTATGGTAAAAAAGCCTCTGAAAGTTTTTGAAGGACAAGCCAAGGAACACAGCCTTACTTTGGCATACTTGCTGGATCAAGCAATGTGCCTTGTTCTGTGAACAATATTGTCAATATCCATGAAAAGGTGGAGGGGAGTAGTTCTAAGAGGATAGGCATAGTCATTCCTATTAGTATTGTATCAAGAGCTTTTTCTGACTTCCTTTGAATTGTGCTTCTAAGTCACAGAAAATTATAATTGCCTTGTAGAAACAATTCAAGTTATTTCACATGTATCTACTATAAAAGGACTCCATTATAAATTTGTAGAAGTCAGGATTTCTGCCCTCAAGATCTTTTTCTAAAATTGAAACTTAGAGTATCTGATTTTTGTTTTTAAGATCTGAGAATTAAACTCAGGTATGCCTCCATGCATACCAAACAAAAACTCAAGAATAAAATTATATATTTTAGCACAAATAGTTACATCTACAGTATTTAAAGAAGAACCTGAGCAACATTTCATAT